ACAAAAATAAATTTGTATAAAGTTTTAAATTAATTTAAATAATACTTTAAAATTTATTTTTGCTAAGATCTTCTTTAGAGAATATATATATATCTACTAGCAGTTATGTTGGATAAAAACGGGCTGTGAAAATTTACATACAGAAACATAACTTCGTAATTTTATAAGATATTATAAGATAAAATTCACACAATAAATTAACTTGTTTGAATTTTCAATTTCGTTTATTAAAATTCAACAACTTTTATTTGCATATGTTTATAGAAGATGCAAAATTACAATTTTTTTGTTCAATAATTCATTGAACCATCCCTCCTATGGATAGTCGGTACGCTTCTGTCCTGAGAATTTAGTACAGAGACGAACCATATCTTTTTCGATATAATTTTATCGATAGTGTCAAAAAGTGTATGTAGTTCACAAACTGAAAATGAATGTATTAAAAGTAGTGTACGGGCTTTTTTGGCGATAACAGGAAAAAAACCGGCATGACCTCTCTCAAATTTTTCTCTGGTAATACGTACATATCAAATATAAGAATACGGCAGATAAGACTAAGTTGATGACGATTATAAAATAAAAAGAACAGAATTGAATTTAATTTATGCTTTTATTATACCAATATAACACTATAGTATATAGCATTATATAGTTTGTACACTGAATTAGTTTTCATATGTAATAATTTTCTACATAAATCATTATTTCATGAGTCATTATCCTCGTCGGAGTTTTTTTTCGGTATTTGTTATCAGCAAGTCAAGTCCTTTAAGCATTTTTATTTTGAGCTTTCTCTATAGTCTTCTTAATAAATGCTTCCCATTCTTCGGGCTTATTCTTTGTATACCAATCAACTAAGCTGTCCAAAAGATTTTTTTGTTTTTCGGTGCATTTTCCGCACTGCGTTTGCAAAGCTTCACCTATGACCTCTGAAATCACACGACAAATTAAGTTACACACTTATCCGTTTTATAACATAAAAGATTAAAAATAGAATTCATAAAAATAAAAAAGATGAGGAAAAAAAAATTTGAAAATCGATATTTAAAAATGCCGCAATATTTCTCAGCGTTAATGCAAATCATGTATGTTCAAAGAGTCTATCTTTTGTTCAGCACATTTCTGAGAAACTGCTTATTCAAAGAATACAGGAAATTGGTCAACCTTTAAATCGATAAAGTTAAGTTAAAGACACCGCGCGCACTGTCTACCGCGTTAGACTTTTATTAGCTGCTTTAATTTAATTTTAAAATTTTTCCAATTAAGTTATTTTATCATATGATTATATATAACCAATCTACTTAAATATTTTTATTAATCTTTGATTATTGATTAACTTGTTTATTATTTGTTTTCTATTTTTTATTACACACATATTTAAATATTTTACATTTTTCAATAGAAATATATGCAATATTTTTATAATGTTTATTTGAGAGTAATTTATTTTTTACATTGAGAATGTGAATTATAAATTTAAAATTAGAATTCGACCAATTATATAATTTTAATTTCTGTTTTTCTCAATTATTAATTAAATTCTAATTTCCAATTTACAATCCTTTTTTTAACGTTTAATATTAAATTCATTTTTTTCAATTTTTTCATGTAATTTCCGAATAAAATCCAATTACCGGTAACAATAAATGATGAATTATCCAACTACTTATTCGGCAAATTAGCTAACGGTACATACCTTATAGTTTAATCATCTTTAATGATCAAAAAAAGCTTTTTGAATTAAAATATGAAACTTATTTGAAATTAATTGAATGTTTATTTCCGTTTACTATATTTTTATTTTTGAATAATGAAACTTAATAAGGACTGTTAAAATTCAAAATTATTAGAAAAATAGGACATATGAGAGTATCGCGCGATACTTGATGTTGCGCAAAAATTTACAAATCAAACGATTAATAAATCAAAACATAAATATGTATATTAGCTTGCTTAAAAGCTTCGAATGTTTCGGCCACATTCGGGGCCATCTTTAGCAATGTACAAAGAATTAGAGAAGAGATTTGCTGCAGTCTTGCGTAATAGGTAAGTTCCAGTTCAGATTCAAAAATCTCTGATTTGTCCTATTTGTCTAATATATAATAATTTTTTATTTCTAATTCGACTCATCGTAGATCTCTCGTTATAGTAATTGTTAATTATATTCGAGAGAGAAAAACTACAAATGTCTCAGGTATTATTTTATACTTAAAATTAGTTTTAATTAATCACAAAGCGATAGAGAAAAAATAATATGATAGATATGAGAGTATACAATATATGTATATTTCGTATACATATATATATATATATATATATATATATATATATATTGTGTGTGTAATGTAAGAATACCAGCAAAGAATTTTGCATCTGCAGTCTTGCATGGTGCAGTGCCCACGAAGCAGTTGTAATATTGCGCTCGCAATTTGTCGTTCTCCAAAATTTCATAAATATTGATATCGTCGTATCGATCCGTATAGAGTTCTTTCTCTGCGAATACACATGTCAATGCAACGGCGATGATCGTTACGATGAGGCTTAGTCGAGCCATTGTTTCTTTTTACCTTTACACAAATCTCTCAATAGAATTACTAAAGTAATCAACAGCTGCTCATTCCATTTATAGAGATTAGTCGTGGGAAAAAAAGTTGTTATGTAAGACAGAACATCTCGCACCAATAACGTCTTCATTCCTTGTATTCATTAGAATACAAGGAATTAAAAAAAAAGACAACTTTTTGCAAGAATAGAAGAAGTCTTTATAGAAAAGTTTCTTTTTCTTTCATAAAAAAGATGATAAATTATCAAAATTACATCGATATCAAGCTTGAATTGACATGAAACAGCAATTTGAAAAATATAAATTTAGATAAAATTGTTATATATATATAAAATATATTTTTATTGTAACGTTCCAATAAAATATTCAAAGGGGTATGTTTATATACTTTTTTTTTATTTTAAGTAAGTTCATAAAACATACTGTCAAAGTTATGGAAAATCCAGAGATCCCTGTGTATTCCCAGAAAGCACAGAGGGTTCAAAAAGAATTCAAAAAGGATTCAGTTGTTATGTCGCCAGTTTAGAAATCATTTTCAGACACAAAAAGAATTCTTTTTCTGAACGATTCTGATAAGAATTCTTTATACATTTGAAAATGAACTCGGAATTGATGACATACGATTGAATTCTTTTTGTACTATCTGAGTTTACAGCGTTTTTTTTTGTTTGTTAATAACTTATATACACCGGATTGGCAACATTACCTCATAAAAATAACTCGTTACTTCTTTATTATTCATTATCGTTTATTCTTTTACCTAAAAAATAATTCGTTATCGTTATCCGCGTTATTGATTTGCAAATGTAACGAGTCGTTTTGGCTAATCGTTTCTGTTTAGATAGTGCGAACTAAACTGAGTCGAAAAGTCCTTTACCATTTTGCAATTTTCGCGATAGTTAACAAGATACTAATTACTAAACATCGCTAATTATTAATTTTTAATAATTTTGTTACTCAAATACTATCAATACTTTACAGAAAAACAGCGAGAGACAAAAATTGTCCACTTTCTTCTCATAAAGTTCTGAGAATTTTTTCAGAATTTTTTAATACCGCATTTTCTCATGTTGCGTTGGTAGAAATAAGAAAATGCAGTACTAAAAAGTTAATAAAAAATTCTGAAAAATTCTTAGAATTTTATGAGAAGAAACTAAATGATTTTTGTCTTTTGTAATGTTTTTGCAAAGTTGATAGTATTTGAGTAAAAAATTATTCAAAACTAATATTTGGCAATTTTTAGTAATTAATATTTTGTTAACTATTGCGAAAATTGCAAAATGGTAGAGAGGACTTTTCGACTCAATTTAGTCCGCTCTATTTATACAAAAGCGATTGGCCAAAACTTACGGGACATCCTGTATATATATATATATATATACATATGTATATATCATAGTTATTAATAAATATTGTATATATGTTGATTTATGAATGAGTTACAGTTGTGAATGTTAAGAGATCAAATAATAATCTTTGTTCTTTGGTTTCTTTAATTATACATAATATATGAATTATTTATAACATGAGGTATATTTCAATTGAAGATGATTGAGCTCTGATAATAACTATATGATTGGATGCGATATTGTAAAAAAAGAAGCAGGAAAACTACGTGATGTGCATGTTAGTCATAAATCTAAACTACAAAGTGCATGAAAAATTCTGAGAATTGCGATTAATCAAGATATTTGTTTGTTGCGTTTATATTGTTATCACAAAAACATTCCTATTTTTTCCTGTTGAAATAAATAAACTTTTCCTACTATAACATCTTACAACCATACATTCCTAGCAAACGAGAAATGTGAATCATTCGTGAATTAATATTTTTGAAAATCTGAATCTATTTCAATTCATTTCAATCCATTCTGGGTTGCGCTGAATATGGCAAAACTGTCAAAGGCTTTTTTTTTTCTTTCGATATGTATGGAATAAATTAGCTCACGAAGAAAGAAGATGAAACAAATGTTCAAACAATTTCGGTGTGTAAATAACGCAGCAGAAAAACATTCATTTCTTACATTATCTATCATTTCCTGATTTCAAAGTTCAAAATGCAAAAACAAGATTCTTAAACTATGACCATAGTAAGAGTATATTATTTATGACATATTTGCATCGTAAATGTTTTTATCTAGAATTATTTGTCTTATTCTATGTACATTTATCTCTCGAAGGAATTTGTCAATAAGAACATTAATTTAATATTTATCTGTAATAAAAATTAAAGTATTATGATTCTATTCGGTGGTCCTCTTTTCTTTAAATATATAAACATTTTTATAATATAAAACATAATTTTAAAAAACATACCGTTCTTTTTAGATGGCTCATCCTCCGTAGATGTATTAGCCACCGGAAATATCTGTCCATGGTTATATTTCTCAACACGCTTTGTGAACGTAGAGACACATTAATATATCTTATCGGCAGTTTCACAAAATAGATATGTATCTACTTAGTTCCATGTTCAAACGAACATTAAAACGAACATTGGTGCGCTAGTGTACGGAGTTCCACATTCTATGTAATTCCTATTTTCTCCTCTTGTCCTTATTTTACGTATGTTTCATCATGAAAGAGAAGAATTGTTTAAAATCTGATCGAAATCAAATACGCCATTAAATATTTTACTTCGAGAAAGAATTAATGAAAGATTTATTTTTTCCGTTTTCACATCACTCCGGCCAGGGTATCGATCATATAACTTTTTCTTTAGAGCGAAAACGTGAAAAGTGAAAAATTTTATGTATATATCTACATACATACATAACACTTTCACTTTTCACGTTTCCACTCTAGAGAAACAGTTATATGGTTGATACTCAGAATTCGATGATGTATATATTTGTTCCCATCTTTTTTACGTTGAACTTTGTACTTTAAACCTGTACAGTGGCAAACTATTGAGCACTGTCTTTTCTCTTTTGTTATCATTATTTCCACTCTATAATTATCGCACTGTCATTGATTTTGTTCAAGTGAAAACAACTGCAACTGCGAATATCATTCTTTAAATCTGTTTGAAAAAAAATATTGATACACCATGATGCTCAGGCAGGTAAGTGACAAAAAAATGCCAATTGTTCAAATTTGTTTAATTATTGAAATCACACATTATATCATTTCTTCAATTTTTTTATGTTCCATTTTTATGTTCCACGATAGCTGCACTGTTATGTTACTCGGATTTTAATTATTCATTTCTATATCTTGAAATAAAAAATGTTTTCAGGTATTTAACCCAAGATTATACCAAAATGTGGTACGATCCTTCTCAGCAACTGCTGAATCCACGCAAGGATATAATTTTGGTTGGTATATTTATGTCTTACAAAATATAGAGTATATGAAGATCTATTGTTCAATATATTAAAAGAACAAAAAAAGATACGTTTATATATGTGTATATATATATATATGTATAATAACACATTTTATCCGGAATACATCCCGGTCCTTAGGTTGTTCAAAGGACGTACGAATATCCTTTGGATGTCCTCAGGACGTCCCATGGAGGTCTGTGCTGTTAGGAATATGTATACAGAAATATTCTTATTTACATAAACGTGATACATGTAAATAATATATTTCAGACTACATAAGTTGAATTAAATGTATCAAGAAATAGGAAAGCATAACATTATTATCTGATTATCGTTTCACATTATTTACACTTTTATAAACAAGATTGTTCAAAGTACTTCTTGAGTAAGACACAAAATTTAAATACTTCAAAAGAAATTTTTTACATATAATTTTCTACACTGCATATTTTTACATATTTTTTGCATATTTTTACATATTATCTGATTTTAAAATATAATTATTACTGTCTCATTGAATTGTTTTAGAATTATCAGATACTCAAAAGGAAATGCAAGAGCTAGCACGGAAATTTACGAAAGAAGAGATTATTCCAGTAGCTGCAGAGTATGATCGAACTGGAAAATATCCATGGGACATTATTAAAAAGGCATGGAGTATTGGTCTTCTGAATAAACATATTCCACAACATTGTGGTATGCTAAATTTATCAGAATTATATCGTATACATATATCTTGCTATAAACTATTATAATAATATTGCTAAAAAAATAATATTATTGATGCAAAAATAAGATTGATAATAATTATAATCTGTTCTAGGTGGTATGGAAGCTAATATTTTTGATTCATGCTTGATTACGGAAGAATTGGCTTATGGTTGTACAGGAATGGTAACTGCAATAGAAACCACAAGTCTTGGAGTAAGTTTATTAACAGTATTCACTTCTAGATCATATAATATTCTAATTCTTTCAGCAAATTAAAAATTAATTTTTCTTTAATTTTATTAATTTTCAATTTTTCTAAAATTATATATTTTAATTTATTTAATGTAGCAATCGTACATATATTTTATGTATTTTTTTATTCAGCAAACTCCAGTTATCATAGCTGGAACGAAAGAGCAGCAAAAGAAATATCTTGGAAGACTTGTAGAAGAGCCATTTGTTGCGGTATATATAAATCTGAAATTAAACTTATGAAAGCTAAATTAAAGTTAATGTTGCATAAATTGAATAATATTATTTATAGGCATATTGCGTTACTGAACCTGGTGCAGGATCTGATGTAGCAGGTATTAAGACCAAAGCTGAGAAGAAAGGAAAAGAATGGATAATTAATGGCACCAAGATGTGGATTACAAATGGTGGTGTTGCCAACTGGTACGAGACAATGTGCTTTATTATTTAGTATTAATTTCTAAAGAGACAATATATTTCATTATATATATATATATTTCATTTTATATATATATATATATATATATATATATATATAGTATTCACTTCTAAAGGATATCACTTACACTTTTAACACAACTTCTTATTGTACAGGTATTTTGTTTTAGCAAGAACAAATCCAGATCCAAAAGCTCCAGCTAATAAAGCTTTTACAGGTTTTATTGTGGAACGTAATAGTGATGGCTTAACTCCCGGTCGTAAGGTAATTCTTGATGATAATTTTTTATTGTTATCCTATTTAATCGTTAACTTAAATTTGACTTATGATAATTTTTTTTTATATGTTAAGGAAATTAATATGGGACAAAGAGCAAGCGACACGCGAATGATAACATTTGAAGATGTTCGCGTTCCCGAAGAAAATGTATTGCTTGGAGAAGGAGAAGGTTTTAAGATAGCTATGAAGACTTTTACTAGAACTCGATCACCGGTAATATTTCATTAAATTTATCCATTAGGTGCCAAATAAATATAGATCATAAGATGTGTGCAAGTATATTTTTACATTTAACATTTTTACAGGTAGCGGCAGCAGCTACTGGTTTAGCTCAGAGAGCTCTAGACGAAGCAACAAAATATGCACTGGAACGTAAAACATTTGGTAAACCAATAGCGGAACATCAAGTAATAGCTTTCATGCTAGCGGATATGACTATTGGTGTTGAGACTTCTAGAATGGCATGGATGAAGGCAGCCTGGGCTACTGATAAAAATTTATCGAATGCTACAATGCTCGCTAGTATTGCAAAATGTTATTGCAGTGATGTAGCTAATAAATGTGCTACAGACGCTGTACAGGTAAAGTACAACACAATAACTTATATTAATGAATGTTTTTTATTAAACTATATTTTTATTTAACTACAGTTAGCAAGGAGATGAAATTGATTCGATATGTTTTTATAATTTATCATATATAACTTTTTTTTAGGTTTTCGGTGGTGCAGGTTTCAATTCTGAGTATCCAGTAGAGAAGCTTATGCGCGATGCCAAAATTTATCAGATATATGAAGGTACTGCGCAGATTCAAAGACTGATTATATCGCGGGCTCTCTTCGACGAAGCTAAACAAAGGAACAACTAAGTAACTGTACGTCGATTTAAATTGCATCATAAAATTTATTTTTATATTTATTATACTATATATAGTATTTTTATTATCTATAAGATAATTGAAAAGTAACGCGTTATTTACAATTACGAAACATCGTTATCGTTACAATTATTTTTTCAAATAACGATTTAAGATAACGACATTATATTATTTTGTTTTGATTTATATTGATGATAATGTAATTATATTTTTGGGTAAGTATAACAAATATAAATGTTTTATTATTAGTTTATACATGTACGTGTATGGAACGTGCATAAGTGAGTATAAAAAAAGAGTTACGTGTTTGACCATATTAATCATAGATTTGAGGTAATTATAGGTTTTGCTGAATTTGGTCAATTAGCGACATAGATAATTGAATGCCATTCTGAAAAAAAAAAATCAATTTGGTGAAAAAATAACGAAATTGTAACGATTTGATACTTTTGGAGTAATGATAACGCTAACGAGTTACTTTTTACAATGAGTAATCAGAGATGGTAACAAATTACTTTTAATTATGATGATAAATTTATACATATATATATTTTTTTATCTTATTATATATCGAATTATTTTATATAATATTCGATTATATATATATATCGAATATATTATACATTAATATAATATAAATGTTGAAATTTTTATACTTAATGATATAATATACATATATGTGTACACACACACACATATTACAAATAAATAGAGTCCGATCGAAATTTCGGTTTCGGTTTCGATCAGTTTTGGTAAAAAATCAGGATTTAATTTCGATTTTCGTCAAAATTAAGAGCAATCTTTCTTTCGGTGGATAAACTGTACAAGTTGCAATGCGCCAGTGTTCAAAAAACAACTGTTTGATTTTAGGTATTAACTCGTTGATTAAACTTAAGATAATTTGAGTACAAATTTTGATGTGATCCTAATAATAATTGTTGATTTCTATAAAAATTGAGGATGCAATATTATTATATTGTTATAATTCGATAATTTAATAAAACCTTATTAAAAATACTAAAAATAAAGGTATAACTATAAAAATATAAAATATATAATTCTATAATTTTACAATCAATAAAAAAATATCTTTATTTTAAAAATGATAAACATTAAAAAAATCATAATTAATCTAAGATAAGATAAAGTCTGTGAAACGAACGTACAGCACCCATTAATATAAAGAATTCGATGATCACCTCATAATTGTTAAAATAATTATTATAAATAACAATGAATAATTTAAATAATAAAGATTAATAATTAATCCATGTAATAATCAATTGACTATTATTAACATAAATAAAATAATTGGAGTAATATAATATATTAAATAGATTTATTTAACTATAAATATATTTTTCCTAAACAATTTAATAGCATCTTTGAAAGACTGAAAGACCTGCCTTAACTCCTATTTTATTGGGTCCCTTACGATCCTGAATATATCCTAAAAATCTTTCGCTCTAATAATTTTAAAAATACCACCCTAACTAATACATAAATTTCTAAAATGATCTAATTAAATTTAATAATATATAATTTAAATATGTTAAAATTATTACTTATATAATTTCTCTTTTATTCCTATATTTAATATTAAAGAGTATATAAATTTACCACAATTTCTGAAAATCATATACAGTCTGTATAAAATTAATCCAAAAATGTAAATTTCAATTTTGGTCGAAAAAAAATGTGATTCCGTTAGCTCCTCTTTTTTCTTTTCTTTTTTTTTTTTAATAACATCTAAATTTCGGTTTCGTTTTTTTTTTCGGCTGAAACTGAAGGACGATCGAATATTCGTTTTTGGTTTCGACTTGAAATGTGATTTCGATTGGATTCTAAAAAGAGAAGCCTTATTGGGTCATAGCAGATAGTTAATTGTATTTTATATGTATATATTAAATTTTTGTACATACTGTGTAAATGTTTTATGAATGTTTAGAAAGTTGAAATATAATAAGAAAATTTCTCGATTTAATTCAGAAAAACATAATAATCCATTTTAATAAAAAATACTGTAAAAATTATCAAAGACTTAAGAAAAAGACATATGATATGAGATGTTAGAAAGTTGCAATTTTAATTTTTGATATATATATATATATCTTGATATATTATCTAATTTCGTATGCACGTATTTACATTTTCTGAAATTCGCGAAAGAACTTTATTTTTTAGATATTAAATTATTTTCAATAATTTAATATCTAAAAAATAAAGTCCTCGAAAAGATTACAATTTACGAAAAGTTTTTCTTTTTATTCTAGAGAACTCGATAATATCCGAGTTTCTAATGTGTTCAAGACACTTGCACTTTCTAACAATAAGGCGACGAAAAGAAATTCATTTGAGCCATTCTTCGAATCGAAATAAATCAAACATAGACTGCACACGATCCGTGTATACAATTTAGCCGACAAAAATGAAAGAGACATGATGCGAAGACGGCCAGTCTCTGTCTTTTTCTGGTGTAATGTTGATAGAAAGAAAGGAAGATTGTCCGTTTTCAAGCTCTCTTTCTCTCTTATTTCTCTTAATGACATTAGACATACTATTTAGATGCGGATGGCGCGGTCCATGTTCTACGTCTTTGATCGTGAGCGAAAACTGCCGTTTTGAAACGGGCGCGGTTTCGCGACAGACGGCGCTGGTCGCGTCGCGACAAGGAGTACGTTAGTCAAGTGCATTGTTCATTGAAAAACGTATTACGGCCGCATTATGTCCGTCGGACCGTAGCCTTTTTCACGCGGTTTTACTCGGTGAAGTCGCGCGTGACGAGTTATGCAACGTACGCCGCGTAAGGGCGGCCCGCGCCGGGCGATCGGACACCGCGGCAGCTGACCTACTTAGAGCTCGGCCTATCATCGTCGTACCTCACGACGCGGCGGCGAATCGTGTCGCCGAGCACGCGAAAGGAGAGGTTCGTGACAAATCCCCGGTGGTTAGGGTTCGTTAGAACGGCCGAAAAAGCCGGCCCGCACGAGTCGGTCCCGCGGTATCGTCGTCATCCCGGATCCGCGGAACGACGCAGGCCGCGATTGCCGGCCGTCGGCGGCGAAGGAAGCGGGGCCGGGGACGGACACCTTTTGGAAATTGCGTCTTTCCGCCCGCGACGGAGCTCGCCGATGAGGCGCAGGGCCGTAACCGCCGTAACTTTCCACCCGGCTCCGGCTCCTCTGCACCGACCGACCGACCGACCGACCGAGCCGGCATGATCATCTTTCTCCCTTTTCTGCTCTCTTTTCACCTTCCTCCGTCTCTTATCTCTTTGTATCTCGGAAGCGACGGAAGACGTGCTTTTGTCGCTGTTTCTCGATAGCCGGTGGCGAGCGAGAAAGCGAACGCCGGCGTATCTCACTATTCATGTACACGCTCGCGATTACGCGGTTTTCCCTTTCGTTCGGCCACTGCCGTACACACAAGCGCTCGGCGTAACGGGGTG